ACAGACAGAGAAAATGCCTGGAGTAGAGACATGGAGTGTCTTTTTCACGGAACAGCCAGGTGGTCAATGCCACTGGATCAAAGAATATAAAGCAGGGAGGAAGGCATAAGAAGCCTGAAAAAGTTTCAGGGCGGGTAGGTTATGAGGGGATTTGAACACCAAATAGAGCATTTTGTATTTGATCCTAGAGGCAATAGCAAGCCATTAGGGTTTATTAAGAAGGGCAGTTGACTTGGTCAGACCTGCTGAATGGAGAATCGATTGGGACGGGGAGAAACTTAATGCAGGACGACTCATTAGCAGACTGTTTCAATAATCCAGGCATAAGATGATGAGGACTGGTATCAGAGTGCTGGTGCCCAGCTTTAGTTTGGTTCAAAACCGTATGTGCACACATGGCACATAGAAGTGAGTTTCTACATTTATTTCAGTCCCTTTGCCCTGAATAATAAAATTTCCTAAAACTGACACAAAGTCTACAGTTGATTCTCAGTCCAAGACGATTGCATACTTTGTCTCTACCACTCCTGATAACTGAGTCAAGTTGGCTTCTCCTCCTTTCCTCCCAAATTTCTCATACTATCTCCTTCTGCTACTCATTTTGGACTGCACCCAGGAGATGCACATTCTAATATCAAATATTTAACCCAGAGAGGGCTCAGGAAGGTAAATCTTCTGGAGGGAAAGAGGGACGAAGCCTACCAGAATGACCTTTGGATTAGTCACACACCCTTGCTCTTCCTGCTAAGAAAGAATTCATGGAATCACAGACTCTTAGGAGTAGAAAGGACCTTAGAAACAAATGCCAGGCATTCACCACCCAAGACTGTCCCTCAGGTTGATGATACATTCGGGGTTGCTTTGTATCGTGGAGTCAGAGAATGGATGACTGGCAAAGGGAGATTATAGCCAGAATATATTTTTATACAGTTGTGAATAAAATCTATCTTAACATAGTAATTTTGTAAATCTGTTCTACCTAGTGATTCTTATTTACATAATTTTAAATTGTAACATCTTTTAAAATACATTTTTGCTATCTCTTTTTTATAGATAACCTACATTCTTCAATGTGTCCCTCTCTTCACACTGGAGACAGTTAGATATCTCCTGTAATAAAGAATAAAGGAAAAAATGTCCAACAAAAACCAAAACATTGAGAAACTCTGGCATAACATACAGTGCTCTACAGCCACAGTCAACTCAACTTCTGAAAAGACGGTGGGGAGGTGCTTTCTCATATCTTTTTTGGGGGGACGGGGGGCCAGGTTTGGTCGTTATGATTTCACAGCCTTCAGTTTTGATTGTTTTGCTTTTTTTTCCATTGTACTATTTTAGTCAGTATGTGTGCTGTTTTCTTGACTTTGCTTACTTTATTTTGCATCTGTTTTCATCTTCCCATGCTTCTCCGTATTTATCATATTTGTCTCTTACAGAAAGCATGGTAATAATAGTCTATTACAGGCATATATCTGAACTGGCTTAGTCATTCCACAGGTTATTCACTTATCCTCCTAGTTCTTGTAAAGATCTTAAAGTTAAAGTTCTTGTAAAGTTCTTGCTCTTGTAAAGTGTCATTCTAAATATTTTGGTGTATATGAGGCCTGTCTTTTTGTCATTGACCTTTTTGTGGTATATGACAAGGGTCAAAGAGTATGGACATTTTAGCCACTGTCTTGGCATAACTGCAAACAGGCTTCCAGAATAGTTGTACCAATTCATAGCTTCAAAAGATCAGTACCGTACCTATCTTTCTGTAGCTCTTCCAACACTGACTGTTCCTATCACTGCCAGCTTGTGGAATGTGAAGTAAAACCTCAGGGTTAGGATGATTTGCATTTCTCTTATTGTTAGTTATTTGGAGCATTCTTTCATATGGTTGTTAATGGTTTATAGTTCTTTTTAAAAAAATTGTCCATATCCTTTGACCACTTATCTATTGAGGAATGGTTTTTGGTTTTATGTTTTTGTTGGTTGCCTATACAGGGTATCCCAAAATGCAGTTTTAAGCTATTAAAGTTTATTTAACAGTTTAATAGTTTAAGCTATTAAAGCTTAAAACTGCACTAAGATTCTTGGGTCATCCTGTAAAATCTTATATTCAACATATCTGATAAGGGCCTGGTAGCTAAATATATATATATATATATATATTGCAATTTTTAATTTAAGTAGTTGCCTTCATTATTATTGAGAATTTGACTCAGAATCTCATGTATACTGTCTCTGCAGGTCCCATTTTTACCTTCCTGAGATGGCCAGATGGTTCAATCTCCATTAGGAAATGTCTGCCACCTTCCCTGTCACCTGGTGGCAGCAGCCTTCACGGTGGCATAAAACAATTAATTTGGAATCCAAGAAGCTTAATTAAGAATGACCTCAAAACTGAAAATAATCTCATGACAGGTAGTATCTCATATAGGGTGGGATTCATTGAACCAGGAATGGAAAATTACTGACCTAAGGAAGGAGGGGAATATGAAAAGAAGATGATAATTTGTGCTTCAAAGGAGAAAAATGTCAGTGAGGAATATCTGAACGAAAACCACTTCCTGTCCCACTGACTGAGGGGCAGAAAAGTGAGAGGTAGTATAGTTAATGGTGATTCAAGATGGGAGTCAGGAAGTCTGACAAGGAGGCCAATCTGTTCTCTATACGTAGAAGAGCTAATGACCATCAAGGCTGTCAGTCTGTCTCAGACATGACTGAATGTTGGAAAATGAAGAGTCTGGTACCTGCAGGTAAACCCTGGGCCTTGGGCTATATACTGGTATAAGTCCCTAATACTGTCAAAGAGCTCATTTTTGTTGTGTGAAAGGACTGCCTGGCATAAATTTGAGAAGGGGAATGCTCCTTGGTAGCCTCCATATTTGCTAAGAAAGTGAAAAAGATAAAAAAATATGGAGTGAGAATGTAAACCTTAAGCTCTATTTTTTGTTTTTTGGTGAGGCGATTAGGGTTAAGTGACTTGCCCAGGGTCACACAACTAGTAAGTGTTAAGTGTCTGAGGCTGGATTTGAACTCAGGTCCTCCTGACTCCAAGGCCAGAGCTCTATTCACTGCACCACCTAGCTGCCCCAAGCTCTATTTTTTTTAAACCAATAAGCAAGCATTTATTAAGCACCTACTACTTGAAAGGTACCATATGCAATGTTTCATAGGCAAAGAAATAAAGATCCAATCTAATCTAACCAAGGAGCATTTATTAAGTACCTACTGTATGTGAAGAGATTGAGATGAGGAAGAAGAGCATTCAAGAAACAATCTAGCTAGCATACTGAGGGAAAGCCAGCTGAGGGCAGGCATTCTTTTTTGGTTTTGTCTTTGTCAGTCCGATGTTTGGCTTAGAACACAGTCTCTGGCATGTATATTCGTATTTACTGTACTCAAAGGGATCAAGGATCTCACCATTTTAGGAGTTCCCTCTAATAATAAAGCAGATAACAACCCACTCATGCCTGCCCATCTTATGCTATTCTCACCCACCTTCCAAAAGTTCACCCCTAGGGATTCACCCACCTCCCTCACTTTCTGCTAACATAGCCACTGGGGTACTTCGGCTGTCCACCTGCCATCCCTCCCTCTCACCACATCGATCAGTCAATAAACAGTTACTGAACACCTACTGTGAGGCACTGTGCTAAGCCCATCTTCTCTTCCTATCATACTGTATATTTCTTTCTTTTTTTCACATAATAGTATTTTTTTGCTAATTACATGTAAAGATAGTTTTCAACATTCATTTTTGTAAGATTTTGAGTTCTAATTTTTCTCTGTCCCTCCCTTTCCTCCCTCCTCCCCAAGACAGCAAGCGATCTGATATAGGTTATACGTATACTATCATGTTAAACATATTTCCACATTAGTCACATTGTGAAAGAAAACTTTAAGCTCTGTAAGTCAACAGAGTGACCTGGCAGCCAAAAACAAACAAACAAAAACCCCTAAAATGATACAGGATTGTATCTTAATGAGGTATAATGTCCATGACTGGGGGGTGACTCTTGGGAGAAGCACAGTATCTAAGACTAGGGAGGTCGAAGTTCCATTGTTCCCTGTCTTTATCAGATCACATCCGGAGAACTGTATTCTAGGCACCATGTTTTAGGCATAACACTAACAGTTATGGTAACAGAGGAGGGCAGCCAGGATGGCAAAGGATCTAATACCCATACCAGGGGAGGGTTGGTTGAAGGCACTGAGAATGTTTAGCTTGGAGGTGAGTCTTAGGGGGACCGTAATCATTGTCTTCAGGTATCTGAAGAGATGTTATGTGGAAAGAGGGTTACACATGTCTTATTTGGCCCCAGAAAGTTGAACCACAGAAGCTGTGGTAGAAATTACCTAGGCAGGAATCATTTTCAGTCGTGTCCAACTCTTCATGACCTCATTTGGGGTTTTCTTGGCAAAGATACTAGAGTAGTTTAACATTTCTTCCTCTAGCTCATTTTATAGATGAGGAAACTGAGGCAAACAGGGTGAAGTGGCTTATCCAGGGTCACATAGCTACTAAGTGTCTGAGGCCAGATTTGAATTCAGGAAGATGAGTCTTCCTGACTTCAGGCCTGGCACTCTATCCACTGGGGCACCTAGCTGCCCATAGGTAAATTTCAGTTCAATATAAGGAAAGACTTCCAAACAATTAGGGCTGGCCAAATCTAGGACATTGAGGATTCTCCTTCCCAAGAAATCTTCAATTGGCAATTGTATAACCACTTGTTTGCGTATAGTAGAAGAGATTTCTTTTTAAATATGGGTCAGAATCAGAATCCTTCTAGAGGCAGCTAGGTGGCACAGTGGATAGAACACTAGGTCTGGAGTCGGGAAAACTGAGTTCAAATCTTGCCTTAGACACTTACTAGTTGTGGGACACTGGGTAAGTCACTTACCCTTCATTTGCCTCAATTTCCTCATCTGAAAAATGGAGATAATTACAGTACCTACCTCACAGGGTTATTACAAGGACCAAATAAGATAAAGATAATATCTGTAAAGTGCTAATCATGGTACCTGACATGTAGTAGGTACTTAATAAATGTTTTTTTTTCCCTTATTTCCTTCCTCCCTCTAAGACTCTGTGAAATGTTAGGGTGGGGTAGGGGAAAGGGACTCCAGTGAGATTTATGCTACGAAATACTAAATTATTTAACTTGCATCAATGTGTTTATTATTCCTGAGACTTTATCACTATTTGACCTTGACAGTTTCCCTTCATGTATAGAGAAGTAGAATCCCATGAAATTATTTTTATTTTTGTCCCTGAGCTAAGAGGAGGCTGCTCTGAACTCTAGTCTTCAGAGCAGACATCTCCTAACTCCCACAGACAGAAGGCTAGAGCCTTTTCTCGAGGATGGGCAATGTGGCCCTTTCTCACAATATGTCCCCCTCCAGTGTTTCCGTGATCACTGCCCTGCCTTTCCCTAGTCCTCCAGGTAAAGTCTTCACAGCGACATTGGAGTATATTCCATCCGCCATCAGCTGTGCTTGTATGTCACCTACTTGACTACCCCTTCCCCCTGGCTCTTGTTCTGGGCATGGGGATTTCAGGAACTCTGTGGGCTTGCTCCATTCGATGAGGCTACCCTTCCCTTTCATGTCCATTTCTAGCAGATCTGTTTGGAAGACATCCATGTCCATGGCTATAGTCAACCCCTCCAAAAGGACGCTTCTTTCACTCTCATCTGGATCTTTGTCTAGCAATTCAGATGGCCACTGAGTAGTGCAGGTACCCCCACTCCTTCTTCCTGCTGCTCCCCCCTCACAATGGGAATTTTGGAGGAGATCTTGGCAGGGGTCTGGGTCCCACTGCAGGGTAGAATGAATATCTTCTAGATTCCACGTGGAAAGCGTAGCGTGGGTACAGGTCTCTTCAGTCACCTCCTTCTCCCCAGGTTGGAAGCTCCTTAGTTCAGCTACTCTATCCATTCCTTGAAAAAGAACAAAATTTGTATGGAGCAATTCTTCAGATACTCTTTCCCCTCTAAATACCTCTTCAGTCCCTAAAGTTCCTTTCCTTACCTCTTGTCTACTGTTCACTTCAACCCAGAAGATTTCAAGCTCACCCAGAAATCTCCAGTTTCTGCATAACAAAGCTATATGTACCTATGCCAACTTTGCAGCTTATAGAGAAATTCATAAACATTTCATTTGAACCACCACCATCTAAGATGAATAGTGTAGATATTGATGTCTTATAGGCAGCTAAGAGGTGCAGTGGATAGAACACTAGCCATTAGAGGCAGGAAGACCTGAATTCAAATCATGCCCTGGATATTTATCAGCTATGTAATGCTGGGCAAGTCAGGTAACCTTTTAAACCTCAGTTTCTTTTTCTGTAATGGGGGTAATAATAGCATCTACTTCCCAGGGTTCTTATAAGCATCAAATGAATTAACAATGTAAAATGCTTTATAAACCTTAAATGTTAACTATTATCATTATCCCTACTTGATAATTAAAGAAACCGAGGCTCAGAGAGAAGTGACTTGCCCAAGGTCAAATAGCTGGTGAGCAACGCTGGTACTGGAACCTGGACTCCAAGCCTAAATCCTCCTCACTCTACAATCCACCCTTTGTTCTTTATAATTTCACAATATTCATCTTCAATTGTTTTGTAATTGTAGTACTTTCCATTTACTTAGTGGTAGCCATTGTGTTTGCATCAGTTCATATAAGACTTTCCATTCTTCTCTAAATTCATCATGTTTCTTGTTTCTTACAGACCGGGATGCTCAATTAGACCCATGTGAGCCACAATTTATTCAACCATAACCCAATCTAGTAGCATCCACTTTGTTTTGAATTGCTTGCTACTACAAAAAAGTGCTGCTATTAATATTTTGGTGTACATGGAAACCTTTCTTTTGGTCAATGACCTCCTTGAGATAAATGTTTAGCAGTGTCATCTCAGGGTCAAAGGATATGGAATTTTAGCCAGTTATTTCACATAATTCCAAGTTGCTTTCCAGAATGGTTGTACCAGTTCACAACAATGCACTAATGTACCTCTGAGAAGGATTAGAGGGGCACATGATGGCTGTCTTCAAGCATCTGAATAGCTGTCACTTAGAAGGGATTTATCACTGTCCAATCTGAGGAAGCTATCGCCACTGCCTCCAACTGGACTTCCAGACAACGTACCCTGGAAGAACTTTGGCCCTCCTGGTCTGATTGGCAAGACCTCACTACATGTAGCTGGTACCAGATCTAACTATGCTCTTTCACAAAGGCCAATTTCCAATATACTGACTTACATATACCTTTCTCCTCTCCTCTTCCACTTCTGCAACCTGCCCACCTCACCCCCCAACAGTAATCAAATTAACTCTGCTATTCCTTCCAGAAAAGGCAAGGCAACTAACTTCTCACCATCCAGGTAAGTCCCCAGATCAAAACATCCTTCCTTAACCATCACTCCCCTATATGTGTTGTTTCCCCTTTTTAGAATGTAAGCTCCTTGAAGGCAGGGACTGTCCTGCTTTTGTACTCATATCCTCAGCTTAGTATAAGTATATAATAAATGCTTTTTTCTTTCATCTATTCATTGCACTTATTCATTCATTCAGTTGATTGTCTAATTCTCTTTTTTTCAAAATCTTTATGGACAGAGAGTCCCATTGCCACTCACTCCAGTGTTTTATCAGTTTGACGAAGGGTTTCACTGTGCTTAGGACCAAAGGAACTCTCCTCCCACTAATGTAAAATCATTGTTCTTGCCTAGACTTTCAGCAGACAAGCAGAACAACTTGTCTACATGCTCCTCAGAAAAATCCTTTATGCTCTTATCTGTAATTAAAGTGTCTCTGCCTCTTGGCCCTTTCCTTCAAATAGGACAATCTTAGTTCTCCCACATTTTTTTCAGAGGTAAGGGTTCCCAACTGGTAACCCCTGGCTGCATTTCTTCTCCAAACATTCTCCAGCTCTTGACTGATAAATGCTGTGGTGGGGGTGATAGTGGGGTAGGGAAAGCATTCTCCTGGCACTTACCCTTTGTGCCTTGTATTCCCAATGGCACCATGGTGCTCCTTCCCCTTGAGGCTCAGACTTTTACATTAATAGAATTTTCTCCTGCCTCTGAACCACCCTTCATCCTGCTGCCAAACTAACCTTCCTGAAGTCCAGCTTTTAACTTCTCATTCCCTAGTCCAAGAACCTATGGAGAACTCCCCATTATCAACCACATTAAGTACTCCATCCCTCTACCTGGCCCTTAAGACCACAGTGAAAAATGTACACGATGACATCAATGTAAATGAAAAGAAAAACATCAAAGACAAATAAACCACAACTAAAATGACCAAGCTTGGACCTGGAGAAGATAAAATGCACCTCCCTCCCTTCTTAGTGCAGGTAGGAGATTATGGGTATGGAATACTAAATAAACTTTGACTTAGTTGTTGTACTGATTAATTTCACTGAGAAGCTCCTTTTTTTTTTCTTTTTCTTTTTTATTCTTTTACAAAGGATGACGTGGAGGAGGGGCAAGGGATTTTTCGGAGATGGAGGTAATGTAAAAACAAAAGACATTAATGCATTTTTTAATGGTAAGAAGGAAAGAAGACCTGTAGGAATTTGGCCCTGGTCTAATACCCTTCTGCTCCCTAACATATACCCTCAGGGTAGATATAGCCTTCTCTATCCTTCAGCAAAAACCAGGTTCATTTTTGCCTCTGATCCAGGGTTATACGCCATTAGAATGTAAAATCTTTGAAGGTATGGATTGTTTCATTCTTTGTATCCCCATCCCTGTGCCCACCTGGCACATAGTAGGTGCTTAGTAAATTGATTGACATGAAGTGTCCTTCCCCTTCTTACTCACCTAGCTAAGTCTTACTTGGGCAGCTAGGTGGAGCAGCGGATATAGCGAGGGACCTGGAATCAGGAAGACCCTAGTTCATATCCAGCCTCAGCCACTTACTAGCTGTGTGACCCTGGGCAAGTCACTTAACCCCAATTGCCTCAGTTTCCTCATCTGTAAAATGAGCTGGAGAAGGAAAAGGCAAACCACTCCAGTCTCTTTGCCAAGAAAACCCCAAATGGGGTCACAAAGAGTCAGGCATGACTGAAAAAATGACTGAAGGACAACCACAAAGTCTTACTTATCCCTTCTAGGCCTCACCTACCTCTTCCATGAAGCCCTCCTGGAATATTCCAGCTCCTAATGGTTTTTCCCTTTTCTAAACTCCTGGAATTAGGGCCAAACAATTCAGTCCTTAATTGTTCTCTAATTGCTAGATGCAGAGGCCAAATTTTCACACTTCTGTTAAGATTCTCCCTCCTCTAGCCACTCACTCACCCCCACACTCCAGGTCCTTCCCCCAGTAGCTAGCATGATCACTAGTGTTCAATAAGGGTTGGCTCATTCCTTGGCTGTAGAACCTCTTCCCTCCTGTCCGGTCATGTGCTTTTACCATACCCCAGTATCACAATGGCTTCTCTCATGATGAATGGCATTTATTTAGCTATGACTTTCAGCTATGACCTTGGGTGATTTTTTGCTATATGAGGGTGACCATGTTCATAGTATTGGCTCGACAAAAGAGCAGTCATCTTGTCCCAGCCTCACCCCTCCTCTATCTGTAACCAGGGGACTAGACCTATTGTACCTCCAGGGCTTCCTTTCTGCCATGGCAGGTCCCTCCCCTAACTGATTACTGCCTGTACTCCCAGACCAAGAGCCTGGGCTGTCCACTTGGGACAGGCTAATACTATCAAATATGGTACAGCCATACTTTGGGAGACTAATGTCTTTTGCTAGCCTGTCCTTGTCCGGTTTGGGTCTCTACTACCTCCCGAAGGTTTCACTTTCACAGTTCTTTGTTCAGACAGAGAGAGCATGATGAGTTAATGATCAGAGGTACCAACCACATCAGAGGCAAAGGCTGTGGCAAACTGAGTAATCTCATCCCACCATAACCCACAATTTCTGACTGAGCCCCAGCTGTATGACCTTGGGGGTTCTTGTGCCATCCGGTATCTCATCATACTTCTTCCAAACCCACTCCCTCTTCCAATGTTCCAAGGAGTTAATTTGAGGCTGCCACAGTTACTAGGTCCCCAAACACAGGTGTATGCCTAAGTCAAACTTTGTTTGCTTAAATTCTTTCAAAATACTCCAATCAACACTGACTGCTCCCTGACCTAAACAACCCTCCATGGGTGAGACTGATTCATACAGGCTAACAATAAATGAACTTCCTATTGTCAAAATCTAGCACCAAGGTCTCTACTGTCTTAGAAAAATAAATGTTGTAACAGACAGCTAAGTAGTGCCATGGATACAGCGATGAGTCTGAAATCTGGAAAGATCTGGGTTCAAACACAGCCTTAAACACTTACTAGTTGGGCAAGTCACTTAACCCTGTTTGCCTCGGTTTTCTCATCTGTAAAATGATAATAGCACCTACCTCCCAAGGTTGTTTTGAAGACCAAATGAGATAATAATTGTAAAGGACTTAGCACAATGCCTGGCACGCAGTAGGTGCTATATAAATGTTAGCTATTATTATTAGTCTTTGGTGTCAAATCCTCAGTTTCTCTAGAATCAAAGACCTAATCAGTCTCCATTAAATAGAAGACTTAATCAATAGAACTCCAGCTCCCCTCCTGGGATCAGCTCCTTCCAGACTCACCACTCCCCACCTCTTTCCAACTCTAATTCTAAGAATAGAGCTGCCATTCTTGAAAGGACATGTCAATCAATTGCCCTATGACGCCAAACATCACTCCCTCTGATTTCCACATCTAAAACACTCCTCCTCTGGCCAACACTCCACCATATGCATCGTGTTCCTCGATTAGAATGAAAGCTCCTTGATGTCAGGGACTGTCTTGCTTGCTTGCATATCCCCAAGTTTAGCAGAGTGCATGGCACAGTGAGCACTTGATAAATTTTTTTTCATTCATTTGTTTACTGTGTGCCTAGCTATACCACTGGTTTGTATTCCTATATGTACAGTCTCGTACTTCTCCCTGCCCAACTCAGATCCTTCTTCATTTCCCTTTTCAGCAGGTATAGGGAAATACTAATGACAATCAGCTCCCAAGTTCCCTGTTCTTAAAACTGGACTGTACAAAAAGAACATCTTCATTGAATTGTAGGACTCAGAGCTGGGATCATCTGCCCCATGGATAACTAAGAGTTGACTTTACATGGTGTGCCTTTAGAGGCACTTCCCAGGTTTGCAAGTTGTCTCTGTAATTGGTACTGAAGTTGGCCCTACTTCTTTTCTTCTAAAACCAGCCCTTGACCCAGCATCTCATACCCATGGAACAGGAAGGGATGGCAGGGTCCCTTCCTTAAGGAGAGGGTACCTTGTGTTCTCGGAGCACACCCTACTCACCTGAGTTCACCTTCTGGTTCAGTAAATTCAGGACTACATCCTCATAAATGTTCTCAATGGTGATGATGTGACTATAGTCTGCAAACACATACTTCTCATACTTGTGCAACTCCTAGAATCAAGAAGTGGAGAGAGAAGTCAGGGCAAGTGCCTTTGGGAACTTTCTTGGCCAACATGTCCAGGGGCCAGTCCTGGGCTTAATACTGGATGAATCTGGACCTTGGAATGATAAACTCTGCTCGAGGGTCTAGTTGCTCAATTCCTTGGCTCTTGAGGCCTGGGCCATCAGTCTTACCAGGGGGAAGAGGGTGACTGGACCTTCTTAGACTAATTCATGCTACCCACTCCCAGGAAATGGACTTACAAAACAAACCACACTGAGTGACATACCATGCCTTTGGCACCCAGCAGACATCTATGCCCTAGCAAAACTCTAGCAGGACAGCCAAGTGGTAACTTTACATTGGAGGTTCTGTCCTTCTGTAGACAGACCCTTCCCTATCCTAAGGTTTCCTTGGTGAGTATGGAATTGGAGACAAGGAGATGAGATTGTGTTAAGGGAAATTCAGCCCTTCTGCATACTGATCCCTTTCTCCTCTCTTAGGAAGGACATTTTTTTAGGTAGGTATTGTAAGTTATCCCAATTTTATGAATTTCTTCATTAGAGGTTAAATGATTTGCCCAAGGTCACCTAGCTAGGAAAACCAGAGCTGGGACTTGAAGATGGGTCTTCTTGATCTACTATATGATACAGACTGTATTACTTGTCTTTTCCATTGTTACTATTTTCATAGTTACATTGTTTGTCTCAGCCTCTATTTTACATGGATTCAATTCAATTCAATAAATACTTATTAAATGCCTAAAATGTGCAAGTCACAATGTGCCCAAAGATAATTTCAAGGCCATAAGCCTGGCTAACTGAGTGCCAATAATAGAAATAGTTTGAAAGTTGGGGGAGAAGCAGATTTGTGGCAGGGTGATACTAAATTCATTTTGGGACATGTTGAAATTGAAGAGCCAGTGGGAACATTCTGGGAGAGATATCAGCAGCAAGTTGGGAGGCGTAAGGACAGCATGGGCTTAGAGATAGATGGGCTCTTCCCCTGCCACTCCCAAACAATCCCAAGTCTCCTCCATCCATAATACACCCTCACTTGAAGCCTGCCATCTCCTTGAGCTATCATCTTATATTTATCTTTCCTTTCATAGACTAACTTCTCAAAAATGCTATCCAAGCTCACTGCCTCCACTTCATCTCCTCTCAGTTACTTCTCAATCCCTCATAATGTGGCTTCCATCCTCATCACTCAGCAGAAATACCTCTTTCCAAAGTTGCTAATGAACTCAACTTCCAAATCCAAAGGCTTTTTCTCCACCCTCATCCTTCCTGACTGCTCTGCAATCCCTGATATTGTTAGGAACCCTCTTCCTCCTAAAATCTCTCTCTTCTCTGGATGTTCATGACCCTGCTCTACCCTGGCTCTTTTCCTAACTGTCTGACTGCTTCTTCTCAGTATCTTTTGTTATGTCATGCCCACTAATATTTAGGGTTCCCATTCCCCAAAGCTCTCTCCTGGGTCTGTCTGTCTCTCTGTCTGTCTGTCTGTCTGTCTGTCTGTCTGTCTGTCTGTCTCTCTCTCTCTCTCTCTCCCTCCCTCTCTCACTCTCCCTTCACATAGCCAATGAGTTGCTAAGTCTTATCAACTTCCCAACATCTGTCACATCTGTTCCCTTCTCTACACTCCCAAGACCACCACCTTAGTTCAATCCCTCATCACCTCTGGCCTAAACTATTGCCATGGCCTCCTAATTGATTTCACTGCCTCCAGTTCCTTCCCTGCCCCCAAAGATCCTCCACATTGCTGCCAAAATATTTTCCTAAAGGACCATGTCATGTCCCAGCCCAATAAGGTCCAGCAACTCCTAATGCCTATAGAATCAAACACAAATTCCTTTGATTGACATTTAAAGTCCTTTATACCCTGGCTTCAACTCTCTCTTTTTTATTCTATTTTTGTTTTTTTGCTTTTTGGAGAGGCAATCGGGGTAAAGTGACTTGCTCAGGGTCACACAGTTGGTAAGTGTCAAGTCTCTGAGGCCAGATTTGAACTCAGGTACTCCTGACTCCAAGGTCAGAGCTCTATCCACTGCATCACCTAGCTGCCTCTCCAACTCTCTCTTGATACATACTATTCTCCCCTTCAAGGAGGCAGCTAGGTGATTAAGTGGCCTGGAGTCAGGAAGATGTGAGTTCAAATCGAGCCTCAGATACTTACTAGTTGTGTGACCATGGGCAAGTCACTTTACCTCTGTCTGCCTCAGTCTCATCATCCGTGAAATGGGGATAATAATGGCACCGTCTTCTCAGGGTTGTTATGAGGATCAAATGAAATAATATTTGTAAAGCACTTAGCACAGTGCCTGGCACATAGTAGGGACTTAATGTTTGTTTCCTTTCTTTGTTCCTGCCAGACTGGCCTTCTCACATGACAATCCGCATTTTGCCTTTGCTCGGGCCAGATGCCTGGAATGCACTCTCTACAAAACCATCCCCTACCGCCATCTCTTAAAATCCATAGCTTCCTTCAAGTTTCAGTAAAAAGGAAGTGTCTTTAGAGTGGAAGAGATGAGCACCTCAGTAGGATGAAGGCAGGGAGCAAAGAGAGAGGGAGAGACTGGGGATGAGGAGATTTCATGATCCCAGTAAGAAAACCTTCATTTTCGGCCTCTAGGGCCTTTTCCAGTTTAGACTTCAAGCCTACATTAATTTATGACATCCCAGGAGGCAATACAGTATAGTATAGTGGGGAAAATCTCGGTCCTACAGTCGAAATCTAGATTTGTGTCCTGACACTTGCTAGGTGTAAAAATACTTAATAGCAAGTTACTTATTTTCCCTGAGCCTCAGTACTCTGTTCTGTAAAATGGGGATAATTGCTCCTGTCATTGTCATCACAAAGGTCAACTGCCTTATTTAGGCAGGGAGGGAGAGCACAGAAGCCTGAGGTCTCTCAACAATTCCATGGCCGAAGTTCCCTGGAATGAACAAAGGCTTTGGGACTCAGGCATGTGGGGGAAGGTGCCCCTGGGGCATCACACTCACCAGTTTGCAGCCCACCTCCAGCCTTCTCAGCAGGTAGGGAAGGAAAATCTGGACCAGCCATTCTTGAACAAAATGCTTCTGAGCAAATCTGCTGTCAGACTCGAATTTCTGAAAGAACAATCAGGCAACAAGCCTTTGTTGATTGTTGTTCAACCAAGAAACAAACACATACGTGTGCCAGGCACTAGGAATCCTGAAGGCAAAAGGGAAAATAATCCCTGGACCAGAAAGAGCTTGCGGTCAAGCTGTGGTTCAATCGTGTCTGACTCTTCATGACCCCATCTGGGGTTTTCTTGGCAGATTTACTGGAGTGGTTTGCCATTTTCTTCTCCAGCTCATTTTACAGATGAGGAAACTGAGGCAAATAGGGTTAAGTGACTTGCCCAGAGTCACACAGCTAGCAAGTGTCTGAGGACAGATTTGAACTGAGGTCCCCCTGCCTCTAGGACTGGCACTGCACCACCACAGTCTAGCTAGAGGAAACAAATAGAAAATCCTGTTTGTTGTTCAAAGCCCTTCACAATCTCCCTCCTCACCCCCTCCCCTACCTTTCTGGTCTTCTTCTCCCTCCCACATACTCTTTGATGCAGTGACACTGGTCCCTCGCTGTCCCTAGAACAAAACATGCCATCTCCTGGCTCAAAGCATTTTCTCTGGCTGTCCCCAGGCCCTGGAATGCGCTCCCTCCTCATCTCTGCCTCTTGGCTTCCTTCAAGCTCCAGCTAAAATGCCACCTCCTACAGGAAGGTGATTTCCCTTAATGTCAGCCCCTTCCCTCTGTTGTTCCTTCTCTCCGACTGATTCTGTTTATAAGGCAGGTAGGAGGCAAAGTGGAGAAAGCACTGGGCCTGAAGTCAGGAGGGCCTGAGTTCAAATTCTACCTCAGACACTTATTAGCCATGTGACCCTGGGCAAGTCATTTCACCCTGTTTGCCTCAGTTTCCTCATCTGTAAAATGAGTCAGAGAAGGAAATGACAAACCACTCCAGTATCTCTGCCAAGTAAACCCCAAATGGGGTTACAAAAAATCTAAAACAACACAACAAATCTTGTTTATAGTTTATCTGTATCTAGGCACTTGCAGATTGTTTCTCCCGTTAGATGGTGAGCTGCTTGTGAACAGGGGCTGTCTTTTGCCTTTCTTTGCCTGGCACATAGTAGGTACTTAATTAATGTTTATTATCTGACATGTGTATGTATGTATATGTGTGTATATATATATATATGTGTGTGTGTGGATGAGTATACATATACATATATATAATATTCCTATTTACTTATGTATGTATGTATAAGGGTATATTCAAAACAGATATAAGGTGATTTAGGAGGGAAGGCACTAGCAGCTGACAGGATCCAGAAAGGCCTCATGTAGAAGGCAGCTCATGATCCGAGCCTTGATGGGAAACAGATTTTAAGAGATGGAACTCAGGAGGGAATGCATTTGAGGCACAAGGAACAGCCAGTGAAAGCCTGTGGCAGGGCAGTCATAGCAAGAACAAGGGTGACTGGGGAGAGGGGGTGTCTTACTTTTAACACACGACCCTTGACCTTCTCCAGCATGCAGATGACTTGTCTTCGGCGAGTGGCTGAGGACACATGTTGGGCTGAAAGCTGTTGGAAGGTGTACACAGCATTCTCCGTCAGCTAAGAATGGAAATGTTAGAGAAAGGCACTTGATATGGAAAAGATGTATGGATTCATGACCTCTAGCTGCCTTTTCCTAGCCCCCAAATATGCTCATGGGTGAGGAAAGTCACCGTGCTTCCTTCTCACCCACCCCCAGACAGGACCAGAGCTTCACCCTGGCTTTCCTTGCTGACCCTTTGTGGTACCTGCTGCATGAGATCCTGAGCGCTGAAGACAAGGTTTTTAGTGCCTTGAAAACCAAATCTTTCCTTCAAACCCTGAAGACTGTTCCAGTAGAGCTCTGCCTTCTGGTAGCATGGCTGCATCAGCTCTAAGTCCCAGGGCATATCTCCCAGGGAGCAAACCTGTGAAAGTGCAGCACATGGAAAGGAGCTTGGCCTGGTCTGGTACAGTCACTCAAAAAGAGGACAGCTGCAAAGCTCCCTCAGCCTGCCCTATGGTAGGAGTCATTCCCTAGATTTGGGAGAGCTGAATTTAGAGTTCAGAGGAAGGATCCCATAGCCTCAGATGCTACGAGGAGTTGGCCTCAGAGGGATGGGAAAAGTCTTGGGAGCAACATCCTGACAATGTAAACAATTCCAATAAGGAAGAGAAGAGGAAACTGTATAGGGAGAACTGCATAGGGCACTTTTCAACCACCTTGGATTTACAAAGATAACATAAGACAATGGAAGCAAAGAAGGGTGGCGGGGGGAGGGATATCATGGCACACTCCTGTAAGAAGTGTGTTAGTGTTGCGATATAGGGGTGCTAGGAACCCCAAAATGCAAGTGTACAGGGCAGAGGATCTGCCTTGAAAGAATTTGACCACTCAAGCCTTCTTTCAGTCCAAGTAAACCTGGAGTCAGGAAGACTCATCTTCCTGAGTTCAAATCTGCCCTCAGATACTTCCTAGCTGTGTAACCCTGGGCAAGTCAACTTAACTTTGTTTGCCTCCATTTCCACATCTGTAAAATGAGCTGGAGAAGGAAATGGCAAACCACTTCAGTGGCTTTACTAAGAAAACCCCAAATGGGGTCTCAGGAGTCAGACCATCCCAAAAGGACTCAACAACATTTGCTGGGCATTGTGCTTGCTAAGCACTAAGGATACAAAAACCAGCTGAAACAAAGATAGTCCCTGTCCTCAAGGAGCTTACATTCTAATGTGGGAAGATAATACATAAAAGGGAGTGGAAAAGTAAGAGGGTGGGGTTCTAGGCTATAAAGAAAAATAAAGGCATAGCAGCCACAGCAAAAAGTGACACAGTACTGTAGTTTCAAAGTATTCTGCCCATTTCAGAACATATTGGAGTGGTCAGTCTAGTCCTAAATGCCCCACATTCTAGGAAGAGCTATGAGAAGCTACAGTTCATCTAAGAGGTGCCACCATTGGTTGGAGGAACTAGGAGTTTTTAGCCCAGAGAAGATAAGACCAGGGCAGGGGGGGAGAGGGAGGCTACAATACCTATCTCAAGGAATCTGAGAGGAAGATTGGACTTGTTCCGTGTGGCCCCAAGGGGCGAATGGATGGTAAGTTACTGATGAGGTAGAAAGGAGTACTTGAGGCAGATGGAGCAAGCTGGATACAGGATGTGAGATATGAGATAAGATGTGGGATGTGACCAGTGAAAAGTGATCAAAGAAGACCATCCCCCAACTGTGGACTTACCTGTGTGCTTTCACAAAGCACCCCTTACCTGACACGCCAGAACAACTCCCCCCTCCCCCTTTTCTTATCTTCATGGACTCTGGAGCAGTACCCCCTTCCCCTTTCCAGTTCTCCTTGCTTATCTGTATGACAAGGGCACCTCTGGATTACCTGAAATCCCAGGCATTCCAGAGCTGTGCTTGCCCCTCCTCCCATTCTCTTGTCCTCCTTCCCCCATTCCACAAAATTGTATTTAAACCAGACCTTTAACCTGGCCAATAGCTTCTGCCTCCCACTGGGGAGCAGGGCTGGTTCTGCCCCCCCCATAGGGGAGCAAGGCCCGCCAAGGCTCTCCCTCTCACTTGGAGTAGAGCCCATTGGGGCTCTGCCTCATGGACCACTTGGGTGCATTACCCCAATAAACTCCTTTCTTTAAGTTGGAGACTGAGTGAATGTGCATTCTTTCAAGACACTAGAACCCACATGTCTGTATTCCACTATTTCAGGTGGCACCCCAACATTCTTGGGGTGCATCCTGAACTCATCTGTTACAAAGGGACAGCTTTGGACTTGAGATAAGGACAAACTTTCTAAGTGACCTGGTTTGCCCCTAGAAGTGCTTAGCTCCATATCACCAAAGGGCTTGGTGCAGGCTGAATGTCGACCGTAGGGGCCACAGGAGACTCTTCTGCGCCCTCTGTGCTCCCCTCCAGCCCTGAGTGTCTGTGATTCTTCACATCGTGGCCCTTAAGAGGAAAGAGATCTCCACATGCTTCCTATTACAACTCACTTCCCCTCTGTGCCAAGGAAGTGCCCCAAACAGCCTTCGTGGTCAGCACTCTCTCTGGTGTTTTATTAGGCTGTAGGAAATGTGAGCTCCTCACAAGATAAGCACAAGATGTGTGACTGTGACCTACAGAACAGCTGAAGGAAGAGTGGATCAAGCCAGGATACACTAAGGGAGAACAGAGAGAGTAAGGAGAGCCTGATTTAGCCACAGGAATCGAAAGCTGTTGGCCCTAAGCTTCTATAACTCCTTCGGCATCCAGTGGGACAATTTCCAGGGTAAAATTATCTGCTTCCTGGAAAGGGGGCTTGCAGGATGGAGAAAGGGAGGCAACAAGCAATGATTAAGCACCTATGATGTGCCAGGCACTGTCCTAAGTCTTTTTAAAATATCTCATTAATGACCCTGCAAGGTAGATACTATTATCATCCCCATTTTACAGTTGAGGAAACTGAGGCAGACAGAGGTTACATAGCTACTAAGCTCTGAGGCCAGATTTGAATTTGGGTCTTACTGACTCTAGGCCTAGCACTGATATTCATAAAGTTAAATTGACTGATAAAGCTAAATGATATGAACAGGCAGTTCTCAAGGGAAGAAATCCAAGCTATCTATAATTAAATGAAATAAATGCTCCAAAATCACACACAATTAGAAAAATGTGAATTAAAGCAACTCTGAGGTTATGCCTCACACCTATCAAATTTGCAAAACTGACAGAAAAAGAAAACTATGAACATTCGAGGGCAACAATATTGTAAAGACATACAATTTTGAAAGAATTAGGAACTTTCATCAACACAATGACCAACCACCATTCCAGAGGACTCATGATGAAACATGCTACCCACTTCCTGACAGAGAGGTGATGAACTCAGAGTATAGACTGAGACGTATATTTGAGGGAGCATGGCCAATTTGGAAATTTGGTTTGCTCAACTATGCATATTTGTAACAAGGGTTTTACTTTTCTCTCTTTCTTATTAGAAGGAAGGAAATACATGTTTTCATTGACTGAAAAATTAAATTTAGAAAATAAATCATTAAAACTAAAGAAACCAAAGAAAGAGGAAAACATACACAAAAATATTTATAACATTTCTTTTTATAGTGGCAAATAGAATCAAGTGGCACCCATCAATTGGGGAATGGCTGAACAAATGACAGTAAACGAATGTAATAGAATAGTACTGTGCTGTAAGAAATGAACAGAGACAGTTTCAAAGAAACCTGAAAAGACTTACATGAACTGAGGCAGAGTGCACCAGGAGAATAAATTAAACTATACCAAAACTGCAAAAATGAATAATTTTGAAAGACTTAAGGAACTCTGATCAATGCAATGACTTACCCTGATTCCAGAGGGTTTGTGATGAAGAATGCTACCTGCCTCCTCCTGACAGAGAAGTGATAGGCTAAGAATGTAGACCAAGAAACATCTTTTTGATACACACTCAATTGGGTATGGAAATCTGTCTTACCCTACAGGAAAATAGAGGGGGAAGGGGACAAGAGAGCAGGAGGATGATAGAGGGGAGGGCAGATTGGGAAAGGGGGTAATCAGAAGGAAATACTTCTGAGGAGGGACAGGGTCAAAAGAAAGAATAAAATAAATGGGGGGCAGGACAGGGTTAAGGGAAATAGAGTTAGTTTTTCACAGCATGTATACTATGGAAGTGTTTTGCATAACTGCACATGTATAACCCATATTGAGTTGCTTGCCTTTCCAGTGAAGGTGGGTGGGGAGGGAGGAAGGGAGAAAATTTGGAACCCAAAGTTTTAAAAACACATGTTTAAAAAAAATGTTTTCACATGCAAATGGGAAATAAGAAATATAGGAAATGGGGTATAGAAATCTATCCTGCCCCGCAGGAAAATAGAAGGGGAAGGGGATAAGAAAAGGTGGGGAGAGATAGAAGGGAAGGCAGACTAGGGGAAGGGGTATTCAGAATGCATGTCATCTTGGAGTGGGGGGAGGGGTGAGATGGCGTGAAAATTTGGAACTCAAAATCTTGTGGAAGTAAATGTTGAAAACCAAAAATAAATAAATTTATTAACAAAAAAAAGAAACCTCTTTTTGGACATAGCCAATATGGGAATTTTCCCCCCGATTATAAGTATTTGTTACAAGGGTTTTCTTTTCTTTTCTTTTCTTTGAAGAGAGAGAAAAAATAAATGCTTTAATATTTTTAAAATTTTAATTAAAAGGGGGGAGTTTGCAGGATACAAGATGGGGCCACATGGGAAGGTCTCACCTCCTCTTTCAGCACAGCAACAACTCGACTTCTCCGCACATTTCTAAGCAGACTGTCCAATCGATGGACAAGGAGTGTGCCAACCATGCCAAGCCCTTGGCGAACAGGGCGCAGAAGCTCCTCCATCACCCAGGCCAGCTGAGGCTCCACTTCCCGGCAGAGGGAGGACTCAGCACGGCCACACACCATTGCTGGAGAAAGAGCAGAGTGTTTCATGAGGCCGTAGGCTTGGCAGAAAGCCTGGGCTTCAGCACAAAGGAGGAGGCACCTGGGATCTGGGGGGAGACACAAGGGTCACAGGACAGTTCTCTGACTCATCAAAAAGGCCCTGGCTCAGTCACTGGAATGTGAGCAGCACAGACAAAAGGGGAGGGGGAGGTGGAAGGCAGGAGTTGGGGAGGAGGTGGGGGTGGGGGTGGCAGAGATACTTTGGAGTAGAATCTGGCCTTTCTATAAGCCTGTTCCAGGCAGAAGCAGCGTCTTCCTCACCCAACCAATTCTCACTTTGAAGTTTGTGAGCAATCTGATTGCTTAATGCAAGCATCTGATCCGCTTCAGGGCGAATTTTCTTCTCTAACTCTTTCTGCAGTTCTTCCTTTTCTTGATGAAAATTTTGGAGCTCAGAGGAGACCAGCTTTAATATTAGAACATAAACTTCATCCAAGAACTGTTCAAACAGCAGGAGCCAGAGACAAAGATAGTCAGAAAGGGAAAGGGAGGGAGAAAGAAGGGAGGAGACAGAGAGTGGGGGAGAGGGGGTAGAGAGGAAGAGGATGGAAAGGGGGTGGAAAAGGAGAAGAGGGGAAAAAGGGAGGAGGGGAGAGAGGTAAGGGGTGAAAGAAAGGAAGGAAGGAGGGTGGGGGAAAGGAAGAAAAGAAGAGATGGAGAGGGAGAGAGGAAGGAAAGGAGGAAGAAGATATGAGAGAGAGAGAATTAGGAAAGCATATATCCTTATATCAAAGACATTTACATAGGCCACAGCAGAAATATTTGAAGGGAGTCAGTGTTCTGAATGGCCTTTTCCTTACCCCAAAGCCCCCAAGTGCTGACCAAACAAACACAGAACCAGTACACAGCAAAAATGTTGGTTATATTTCTTTTCCTTTGTTTTGTTTTTTTTTTCTGGAAGGGGAAGGGGGGTATCATAGAACCCATTCCCATAGTCCTGAGTGCTGACTGGCACCAAGTGCCTGCCCCATAGGAGAAGCTCTGAGAACTGTGGGGTTTCTGTCTATGGTCTCCCACTAACAATTGATAGAATCACTCTGTATACCTGGTGTTGCAAATCTTCCTTGTGTCATGTGATAGGGGATGGGATTAGTGCTAGACCCCTACAAGGAAAAGTTCCTGAACTTTACCACAAACTTCAGGAACCCAGCCCCTGAACCCAAATCCCTGGCATTTGCCTGAGGCACAGGGCCTATCCCAGTCAATAATCCTTTTAACTGCCCTTTCTTTGTGGCCCTCATTGTCTGCACCTGGCCCACTAGGCTATTTGCCACTCCTTAATCCCATCCAGATCTTCCCATAGTCCTTCTGTATAAAAGTACCAATTTTATCCTCATCATAGGCACAGGTACCTTAAGAGTCTGGCGGCTTGTATTGGCATCACAAATAAACTCACTACTTTGACTGGACGGCTTGAGTGGTCAAATTCTTTTGAGGCAGATCCATACCCTGTACCCTTGCATTTCCAGATTCCCAGCACACCTAGACCACAACACCATGGACCTCTTTGGGGATGAAGCCTATGGATCCCTTCTCAGAATAATGGTTGAAAATAATTGAAGGAAATGCTCAGTTTCAGTTAGAGGTCAGTGAAAGTGAAGATGTAATGCTTTTCCTATCCAACTTCACAAACCCTTGGAATCCAACCATGGACCCCAGGGAGTCAGTCCATGGTTAAGTCCAGGGTTGAGAAGACCTGTTCCATACCCTCTGCCTACCAACCCTGAGACAGTGGACTTGAGTCAGAGGCAAAAACCCATGTGACTCAAGCAATGATAAACCTGTGAATAGGAAAAGTCAGAATGGAGAATTTACCTTCCTCCAGGCCCATTTCCTCCGGCTTTCCACACCCCTGAGCATGGCTGGCTTCTGGGCCCGAAGCTTTGGCAACAGATCCCGCATCAGCATATTGGTGAGGACCTAAGGCCAAAGGAAGGCAGAGGTGACCACTCTATGGCAGGAGGAGATGGGCTCCCTCTCCAGCAGTCCCTCCCTGGGTTACAGCCACTACAGGCAGAAGGAGGCAACCCCCAGCTACACTTATTTCACAAACCTCTGCTTCTGTGCCCAAAAGGAGATTGTCGACTCCATAAATGCTTTTCTCCTGCCTGTAAGACTTCACAGCATCCAGGAATGCCTCCGCGTCGGGAGATTCTTTTCTCTGTAAAACTGAAGCCAGTTTTATCCTCATTCCTTCATGCTTTGGCCTACACATGGCAATCAGCTCAAGGAGGTTGCTATTGGCCCTGAAATCCTACCCAGCTGTCCAGGACGCCTTCCCTGATCTTCCTGGCCAGTCACAATCAACCTCCTTTGATCTCAAAGAGCCTTGCATACCCCCCTCTAATCTACTGAAAATGTATCATCAGCATTAATTTTCTGCTTGTGTCTTATCTTCCTAGACTGTGAGCTCCATGAGGACAGCATGTCAGCCACTACAGCTTGTGAAGAACATTGATAAGATGAGGCAAAGAGAATGGCAAAGGGTCTTGAGTCTGTGTCACTGAAAGAACAATTGAAGGAACTGGGAATGTTTAGCCTGGAGAAGAGAAGACTGGGGGTGGGGTGGGGGTGTCTAAGTATTTGAAGAGCTACTCTGTGGATTATTAGACTCGTTCTGTTTGGCCCCAGAGGTGGAAGTTGTAATGAGACAATTTAGGCCGGATGTCAGGAAAAACTTTCCAACCATAAGAGCTGTGCTGAAAACAGAATGGATTGCCTCAAATGGTACATAGTCCAGTCTAGAATTTTCCAAGCAATCAAAGTCAAGTTCAATTGTTTAAAGATTCTGATGTTTAAAGATACTACCCTCTCCCCCAACACACACACCCCTTTTTTAAAAAAATCAAGACATTTGGCCACTGAGTCTAACCCCTCCCCCATTTTACAGAAACTGAGACACAGGCAGTAAGTGGCAAAGCTGGGGAAGTGAAAAATCTAGATCACATGATTTGAGTCGGAGGTGACCTCAATGGTCATTGGGTCTGACCCATTTCTGAAAGGAATCCCCATCTCTGATTGGAGACCTCCAAGGAAGGGCTGGCTAATCACTTGTCAGGCATATGAGAGTGGAGATTCCCAGATCTGTCATTACCTGTGTGACTCTGGACGTGTCACTGAACCTGCCTAGACTCAGTTTTCTCATCTGTAAAATGAGGGTGGTGGTCCTAGATGGCCTCCGAGGGCCCTTTTAGTCCTTCAGTCCATGATCCTGTGGTTTTTCTGACCTTAGACAAAATAGGTGCTTAATACTATGTTGTCTACTGTTGAATGAGCCAGTCAAAAAGGGTCTACTCCATAGTGACAGGACTTTCCTGAGAGATTGACCCATCCATCAGGTCTATGTGGGAGGAGAGAACGCAGGAACTTGTCCAGACCTTGTCTGTGACACCAGAGACTCACTCACAGGACACAGATATAATTTTGACTGTAGCCTCTCAGAAAAATCATCTCATTTGGGCTGGGCCCAGGCTTACCTGTCCCCCGGCGCCGAATCCCATCTCTCAGGACAGATTTCCAGCTGTCCTGGGATTCTACCGTGTCTGTGCACAAGCAGAGGGGCTGTCGGAAAGGGTGGCAGAGATAGATGGGAAATCCCAGAGGGGGCTCAATGATTGGATCTGGATCTTGAATGGAACGGTTCCCTGGAAAAGAGAAAGGCTCTAGGCTTCACCCTTGTCTTAGAGTCAAGAAGAAAGCTTGGCTTCAATCTCTTGAGCCATACAATCAATCTAGGACAAATCAAGAATGTCCTCATGCATAAGGTGTGGGGAATGGAAGGCCATCTTGCTTTTAAAATTAGTCTCATATCTCTCTTTCCATGACAAGGGGTCTCCAAGCGTCTGAGTGCCCTTCTTCTGAGGCTGGTGAGGGAAACTAGAAACAAATGATGATGCTCTGTCTTTGCCCAATCCTCGCCCTGCCTTCCTCAAAGGACTGTTGTTGGAAAGCACTTTGTGAACCTTACGGGCACCACAGGAATATGAGCAGTTGTGATTATTCTCTAGTGGCAAAGTCTTACCTGTTGACCCCTGATAGAGACATTCCCTCCATGAAGCCACTAGTGTGTAACCAGTCAAAGCAATAGACCCCTGTGACTCTTCACCACATTTCTGCTCCTAGAAAGACAGCCAAAGGGACTTTTCAGAAATTTTCTTAACTACAAGTTGCTCTCTTAGGAAGATTAGCAGCTAGCAAGGCAAGAACTCCTCCAAATATTCACTCATGGCACACTTTCAATGAAGCATCATGGAGGCAGCATGGTGCCTTAGCAAGAATCTTGGAAATAAGAAGACCCAGGGTCTAGTTCCAGATCTGCAGGATTTTAATTTTCTGTGTCACCTTAAACAAGTCACTCTCCAAGCTCTGGGCCTCAGTTTCCTCATCTGTAAAATGAAGGGGTTGGATTAAAAGGCCTAAGCCTGCCAGCTCTAAAGCATTTTTTGCCACTGGACCCAGATGGCTCTGGAGGAGAGAGTGAGGCTGGTGACTCTGCATAGCTCTGCCTCACTTAAATCCAATTTACTGACAATTCACGATACCATCTTCCTGATGTCATCGGTCCTCTTTGAAAACAAAGAATAAACAACAACAACAATAATAACAATGACAACAACAACAAATCCCCACCCCATGTATGCTATATTCCAGCTAACCTGGACTACTTCCTATCTCTGTACATACCCTGAAGTTCCTCATCTCTGGACTTTTCCTACTAGAATGCCCTTCAAATTCTTATTGACTTTTTTTTTTTTTGGCAAGGCAATCAAGGTTAAGTGACTTGCCCAGGGTCACACAGTTAGTGAGTATCATGTATCTGAGGCCAGATTTGAACTCAGGTTCTCCTGACTCCAGGGTTGGTGCTCTATCCATTGTGCCACCTAGCTGCCCCATTATACTGATTTTTTAAAACTCAAATGTCACCTCCTGGAGGAAACTTTCATGGATTCTTCCCCGCTGGAAATTATTTCAATCCTTATACCATACTCTGGCATCAAAAAGCCAGTGTTAATTTATATATATAAAAATTATATATTTATAAATATAAATATATAATATAAATTATATCTACACATATTATATATCATTATGTATTATGTATTATTATTATATATTATATATATATAATATAAATTATATTTACATATATAAATTAACACTGGCTTTTTGATGCTGGAGTATGGTATATATATATCTCCTATGTCTTCATCACTTATTATTTTGTATTATAATTATCCTCTTGCTAGACTCCAGCCACTATGAAGGCAGAGACCATACCTTATTGAAATTTCCCACCACCTCTGTTTATCAAGATCCCAAGATCATAGCATTAGAGGTGAATGGGATCTCAAAGGCCCTGCCCTCTCATTTTATAGAGGAAGAAACTGAGATCCAGAGATTGGGAAGTGACTTGTCCAAGGCTACTCAGCAAGTTAGTTATGGGTCCAGGACTAGGACTTGAGTCTAGGACTAAAACCAGAGACGATAGATGTCCTGCCCAAGTAAGTCAGTAAGCGGAAGAGTCAAGGTCTTCTACCTCCAAATTCACTTTTTATTGATTAATTAAACATTTGCTGAATTTAAATACGAGAATTGATGTTCTGTTAACCTAAAGTTTCTGTGGAGACAAGGTGACTTGGGAATGGGGGTTGGAGAGGGACATGTGAGCAAGCCAGCTCATATCTGGGGAAGAGTGGCAGCTATGAAGGTGAAAGCTTCCTACCTGGCTGTCCCGCTCCCAGGGATTTGGCACTGATGCCACTCCACGAGTCTCTCATTCTCACCCTGAAGAGCCCATAGTCACGAGGGTACCACTGAGAGCATGTATTTGATCTCTGCCTTTGACTTAATGATGGACTTTAGGCATCTATATCTTAATTGGGATTAAATTCCAATTAAATTTGATTCAATCCAAGAAAAACCTATTAAGTAGCTATTATGTATATGGCACTCTACTAGGTACTGGGAATAAAAAAAAATGAAACATTCCCTGCCCTCAAAGAGCTTACATTCTTTGCATGTGGTGGTACATAAATTAAGTATAATACAAGGCAATATGAAGAAAGAAGGACTTCAAACTACTGGAAGGGAAGGAGGATAAAGGAAGGCTTCATGGAATATGTGTTCCTTCCATTGAGTCTTGAAGGAAGACAAAGATTTTAGGAAGAAGATGAGAGGAGGCATTGTAGGCATGGGGGATGGATTTTACAAATTTTACAGATAAGTGTCCAGTTCAGGTAACAGCTAGGATTTGAGTTTGGCTGCAATGCAGAATTTGTGAAAAGAGTAGGGTAAAATGAGGCTAGAAGAGTGGGGTAGTAGAGTGTCAGAAGGCCTTAACCACCAGGCTCAGGAATATATATGTTATCCTAGAGGCAATGGAGAGCTACTAGAGGTCTTAGCTAGAGGAGTTACATAGTCAGTGGGCTCCAAATGCTGTGTTAGTTTGAGTTATTGAATAGCTAGCTTGATACAGTCTCATAGAATACTTAGTCAATACCTTCTGAATGAGGCCATTCCCTGTCCCCCCCACCCCCACCCCAGTTGCTGGTACCTTCCTTTCCAAGGTTACCCGGTACTTGATTTGTATTTTGACTGTATGTACTTATATATACACAATGACTTCTCCCAGTAGAATATAAACTCCTTGAAGGCTATTCCCTCTTGCCTATTTCCTCTTGTCTTTGTATGTGCCTGGCATATAGTAAGCACTTAATAAATGTTTGTTGATTGATTGGGACTGCAAAGTTCAAAATCCTTCAGAAATTATTTTAAATGACAGAGAAGCTTCTAGAAAAACCAAAGTGACCTTTCCAAATAGAAAATATAACCAATGACAAGAACAGTTCAAATTTCCTCCTCTGAAAATGGAGGGGTTTGGCTAATGAATTCTAAGGGGCCTCTCAGCTCTGACTTTCTATGACCGTTGGATAAGGCGAGCCTGGGAACATGGTGCCTGAGACAACGAGAAGTGAATATCCAAACAAATAGTAATAATAATGAGAGTAATGATTCATAAAAAATAGAAGAGAACCACAGTATTTTAAGGTTTACAAAGTGTTTGCCTCACAAAACTGCATGAGATAGATGGTAGAAGTATTGTTTTCTCATTTTATTGATGAGGAAACTGAGGCTCCCAAAGGTTAAGTGACTTGCTCAAGGCTACACCTGGGCAAGTATAGAAGTCAAGATTAGAACCCAGTGCACAGGGTCATAAGTCAGACCTGGAATGGATCTTAGAGGTCATCTAGTCCAACCTCATTTTACAGATGAGATCATTGAGACCCAGAGAGGTCCCAAAAAGGAGCCCCTCCCTTCCTCCCTCTGATTGAAGAGGGTGGAGGACCAACATTGGAAAGCTCATTCTAGATTCTCCACTATTTAAGGGTGGCACACAGGGAATTCTCTTCAGCATTTCCCACCAGGCTACTTTCCTGAATGCCATTCTCTCCAGAAACTCATCATTCTACAAGATGAAATCAACTTGGAAACTCTTATCTTTTTAGATTATTTTCCATCATGACTACATGACTTCATGTAGTCCCTCCCCCTTCCAGCTTCTTTCCCTATTTGATTGTGAGCTCTCAGAGGGCAGGTCCTATCTTAGGCCTTTCATTGTATCTCCAGCGCTTAGCACAGTGCCTGGCACACAGTAGGTGCATAATAAATGCATATTCACTCTGATTCCGACTCTGACATGGCTTCCCCAGTCATACCAGTAGCAAGGAGCAAGAAAGACCCCTAGCTCCATGTCTAGCATTCTTCCGGCTACTGCCTCTGTAAAGAACTGACTGCAAGGGGTCTAGAACCAAGTGTTCAGCTGGGCATTGGCATTGGCAATGGTGTTGGCATTGACATTGACATTGACACTGGCAGACCCAACTGAGAATAAGGTGGACGCTTTTACCTCTTTGCTGCCAAACCACTCTAGAGAGGAGTCTCCACGTAGAACATAGTAGCTCTCCCTCCACTTCGGGGAGTTCCCTTGCAAATGGGTCAGGATCCCTTCATGCATTATGGCCCGGGGAGGCTTCTGAGAAGAGAAACTTAGTCAAAAGTGGCATCGTCCCAAGTGACATCTCTTAAAAAAAAAAACCCAGCACAACAGAGAGAGCCTTCCATTCTGCTCCCCCACATTCAGCAGACTCCCTGGGGCTGCTGCAGCTGCACACCAGTGATTTTCCAAACACCTGGAGGCTATTAATGCCTGTACTTTAAGGGCAGCTGAGCTAAGGAAGCAATCTACCATTTCTCCAGAGATCTGAGGCAGAAGCAGCAGAGCATGAACCTTCATGCCCTTCACCTGATGCTTTAAACATACATCCCCACAACCGAAGGATAGCCCTTTGTGAGGTAATGATTGATTTAGATGCTTTTTTGGAGTACCCTGGAAGGGGAGAGAGGGTCCTGGTTCCTCTTCCCACCAATGTGTTGGGTCTCAAAGAACAGCCATTTGGGACCATCCTGTGTCATACTTTCCTTTTAGAGGTAGGAGAAATGCACCAGGGGTCTCCAATCCCCTTACAAACTGCACAAATACTATTTTTTCCAACATCTTCCCTGCCCCTATCCTGGAAAGGAATAGAGTGTCAGCGATACCACTACTAGACATCTACCCCAAAGAGAACAAAGAAAAAGGAAAAGGAATCATATGAACAAAAACAATGTATAGCAACTCTTTGCAGGAACCTGGAAGCTAAGGGGAAATGGCTAAACAAGCTGTGGTACAGAAATGTGCCATAAGATCGGAATATTGTTGTACTATAAGAAATGATGAAAAGAATAGTTTCAGAGGAAACCTCCATGAACAGACTGAAATGAGCAGAACAAAAGAACAATTCACATGATAACAACATTATGGAGGAAAACATCTTTGAAAGACTTGAGAACATTGGGCCAACGGAATGATAAAGCTGAAGTCCACAGGACTAAACATGCTGCCCGCCTCCTGCCAGAGGAAAGTGATGAGCTTAAAATGCAGAATGAGACAGATATTTTTGGACACAGCCAATGTGGGAATTTGTTTTACTGGACTATGCCTATTTGATACGAGGATCTTGTTTTTATTTTTCATGGTTCAGTGGATGAGGGGAAGTGGAAAGAGACAGATAAGAAATAGTTGTAAAAAAAAATTAAGTTTTTTTGAGCTAAAATTAAAAAATAAAAGGAATAGAATAAGCAGGAGTGTTACAACTAGACACAAAAAAAGAGAGAGTTCAGCATAGAAGAGGGCATTCTCTCATCCTTCAAAGCCTCTGACATTTGAGGGTTGATGAGCTCCTAACCTCAATGTCCTTTTTCCTCACCACGTGAGGAGGTTGTGCTGGCACTCTGTATGATCTCTGTCTTCTGTATGCTTGAAGAACCCTGGACCCAGAGGAGCCTCTGGAGGAAAACCATCCCACCCAAGGGAGTCATACCCACTGTATCCCAACCTGTAGCACTCTCAGGATCAATGTCCACTTCATGCCAACCTAGAACCTCCCCAATATCAGCACCTACTTCACTCTTTAATAGCTGGAATCCCGTCTGTCCCAGGGGTGTCATCTCTCTTGAGATTTGCCTCAGGAAGGCCATAGCAAGTTGCCTTCGGTAATGTGGCATGAAGTAATTCAGGAAGGCACCTGTCCGGCCTGGGAAGGGACAAAAAACGGGTACAAACACTAGCTGATCTCCTTTCCTTCCAGCTGACCTCACTTTATTTTGAGATAGTTGGAAGCCCCCTCACAGGCCCCAGGGACTATGCCCTGTGATCCCTCTTGCTTTTGACAGGTCTGTAAAACCCACCCCAGGCATAATCTTCTTTTTTTTCTTTTTTGGTATGGCAATTGGGGTTGTGATTTGCCCAAGATCAAACAGCTAGTAGGTATCAAGTATCTGAGGTCACATTTGAACTCAAGTCCTCCTGACTCCACAGCTGATGCTCTATCTACTGTGCCATCTATCTGTCCCCCATGATCTTCTTTATACCAACTTAGGGAAGCTCATGATGAGCAGAACACCTTCCACTTGGAATCTTGGTGACTAGAGGCATGTGAGACAGAACTGCTCCCATGAGGCTTTCATCCCCAATTGTCCTATTCCCACAAAAATCAGAAAGGCTGGATGCAGATGACTTGAGTCCAGATCTTTCTCCTCAGCATCCCTGAGAAGCAGGGATCTAGCAGATGATGCAGGAATAAGAGCCTGGGAAAGGGGCTTATGGTTAGGGACCCTAATACTGAGAGAGAGAGCAAAAATTTCTTCCAATTCATTTATTCAACTATTTGAAATTATAAAGAGTTTGGGAAAGGAGGAGAGGAAAAAACACAGGAAACCAATTTCATGGAGAGTAAAGCTAGAGAAAAGGAAAGAAATAAAGAAATAAACATTTATTAAGCACCTACTATGTTCCAGGCACTATGCTGAGCACTTTACAAATGTTATCTCCTCTGATCCTCACAACACCCCCCTGAGGTAGGTGCTATTATTTCCATTTTACAGGTGAGAAAACTGAGGCAAATAGAGGTTAAATGACTTGCCCAGGATCACACAGTCAGTAAGAGTTTGAGGCTAGATTTGAACTCAGGTCTTCCTGCTCCAGGGCCAGCCCTCTAGCCACTGCACCACCTAGCTGATTTAGAGCCAGAAGACTTGGGTCTGAATCTCAGCTCCACCACTTATTCACTATAGGACAAGTCATATCCCTTCTGTTTCTGTTTCCTCATCATCTCCATTTTATAAATAACAACATACTTATTCTCACATTGGGTTTGTTTCAAGGATCAAATGAAGTGTGGAAGTAAGGGCTTGGTAAGCTATAAAGCCTTTTATAAATGCCAGTGATCATTACTATTTTTTTTTTTTTGTTTTTTGGGTTTTTTTTTTTTAGGCAATTGGGGTTAAGTGACTTGCCCAGTGTCACACAGCTTGTAAGTGTCAAATATGTGTTCTGAGGCCAGATTTGAACTCAGGTCCTCCTGACTTCAGGGCCAGTGCTCTAATCCACTGTGCCACCTACCTGCCCCCCATTACTATTTTAATTGTATATTTTTGTATATTTTTAATATTGTGTCATCATTGTATATTTTTGATATATAGACTAACCAGATTTGGCTCTGAGGTCAGGCTCAGTTGGTTGCTGGACCATCAGTTCCATGCCTAGCTCTCCGTCCATCTACACATTCCTTCCTTCCAAGACTAGACCATCAGAGACACCACAAAGAATCCAAGTGATCAGCAGCCTCCGTGAGCATTGCTGGATGTTTACTCCTGACAGGGGGAGCTGCATACTCAGAGCCACAAATCCCTGAAAACCAGAGTGGGCTTGAGAAAAGGCCATTCAGCCAACATTGCTCTAGCAATAGCCCATCACCTAGGAAGCACGCCTGCCCTGCACAGTCCAACGGCCTCAGCCAAGTGATTTGTCAAGGGCGGTGGCAAGGAGGCTTCCAGGGTTTTTCTTTTTGTGGGTAATTTCATCTCCGGCGCTTGGCACGGTGCCTGGCATATAGGAACACCTTAATAAATGCTTGTTGACTGACTGAGTGACAGCCAACAGTCCTTCAGACCCTGAGATTCTATGACTTCACCCCTCTTACCCCTGCCCCTTCTGCTCGATTGACTCTCAGCAAAGAATCGTGATTCCAAGTGCTTTTTCTCCCCCCAAACTCCAAAAAGCCCTCTTCCCATGCATGAGCTAATAGGGACTAGTTTAGACAGGATCCTGCAGTCCACATGTGGATGGCATATAAACTGTAGTCACACCCAGGGTTTGGTACTTGAAGGAATTTCTCATGTTGGAGCCAAGAACATATCCCTGTCTCCTTGCAGATAATGGGGCCTAGGGCAATACTGAGTGGCAGCTCTGAGTCACAGTCCAAATGTCAGGGGAGGAGAGAAGGTGGGGGCAGGAGGGAAGGAGGGAGGAGGAAAGAGAGACTGAGAAAGTAACAGAGAGGGTGGGAGAGACAGAGAGAGGGAATGGGAAAGAGAGACAGAGAAAGAGAACAAGAGAGAGAAGAGAGGAGAAGAGGGAGACTGACTATCCAGGTTCTCAGCAGGGCTCTGGAAATAACACCTTCTCCAAACACATCCTCTCCTGTCCTTACCTCTCAGGTACCGGCACTGTCTCTCCCCCAGGTGGCTTGAGCTCTGTGCACCCATCTTGCTCTTTCCACTGAAGGTCCTTCAGGAAGGTTCCTCCACTGCTTGGTTAGAACAGAATAACTGCTTAGAGAATCCCACTCAGCCCTGAGGGCACCTCCTGATTGGCAACTCAGATAAGTTAAATGCCTAGGTAATTTCTCTGGGATAGAACCGTTCCTGCAGTCTAAGCTCTATTAACATAAAGGCCTTAGAGCAGGCTTCCTCTAATTCAGTTCTAGCAATCTTTTATTAAAATCCTGTGACTCTAAGCCACTAGGTCCTGATGTGCCATCCAAGCAGAGTCAACTCTGCAACAAGAAATATTTGGGGGGAAACTGAACCCCTCCTTGATTGCAGTAAAAAAAAAATGGTCTCAGCCACTCTATGAGAGAAGTGAACCTTGTATTGTGGGTGGGGGACTCCAAAAGATGTTAATTCTCTGGAGACATGTCGGGGAGGGGGCGTGTAGGTGTGTGTGTGGGGACTGGCTCTCTTCACGGGATGTTATGGCCACATCTGCCAACCACAGGAGCGTCAGGGCAATAACCCTGCTGAGAGCACCCACTCGCTTAGAAAAAGAGTTTGTGGTAAAGATTTAAAAGAGAATGAGTCAAAGCCTTCTTATGGCTTCTCAACCACCTTCCTGATCCTCTTCTCTGTGTCTGTGGCTGTCTCTACCTGTCCACGGAAGCTGCCATGTCCGAAAACTGGCCAGAGAGAAGGGAATGTGGGATGGACGACAGGGCAATTTTTAGTCTAAACTTTGTGAAGCCAAAGCATGTGTTTTGGTATCATCAGCTCCTTGGGGAAATGCCTCTAGCCCCACCCTGCACCTGTTTTGTGTTTTCTGTTTCGGTTAGAGATTTTCCAAAGCCGGTTATTTCCTTCAAGGTTGAGATGAGATACTTCACAGGTGCACAAACGGTGGTAACCACGTGTCCATCTTCTGGTGCCAAATGACCAGCCCATCACCAGGAGGCCTGTTGGTCCTGGGCTAAGGACCTCGGAGATGGTTGTCAAATAGGCCTAGGAGTTGGGGAAGGGGGAAGTCCAAAGCACAGGGATAGAACCCAGGCCCAGGCCACCATAGTTACAGGGAAAAGACCAAAGGGTGTGTGTGTGTGTGTGTGTGCCTGCAATGGGGAGAGAGAAGAAGTACGAACACGCAAAAGAGAGTGAGAGGGTGAGAGGGAGAGAGAGATGTGAGAAAGGGAGAAATGAAAATACCAGGGTGTGAGACCAGATCTAACCAGTCACCTGGCCACAGGATCTAGTTCACGCTCAGGGGACAAACCTGGACCCAAGCAGATACTAAGACCAAAATGCTTCCCTTGGTGTGAGCATGCCCAGGAAAGTGAGTAGAACTGAAGTTGTGCCACCATGCCCCCCCAACTCAGCCCTTCAGAGAACACAGGGAATCTGCTCTTGGGGCACATGCAAACACAGCACTGAGAATCCCAGCAGGACGAAGCAGCTTAGTGTGGCACACTGCCTTAGCCACCAGCACAGTATCCCCTCTGTTTTGTGACCTGCCCTCACCCACTCCACCCCCTGCCATGTTTTGTGACCCTCCTAGAACAATCCCCTCCCCCTCCTCCGTGTGATAACACCCAGGACAATGTCCCCTCTGTTCTGTGACCTCCCCTCCTCCCCACCAGGATAGTGTATCTCTCTCCAAACCTTTTGCCTTGGATCCTTTAGTTGGGTACTGTTATCAGGAGGTTTGAGCCTGGATGGGTGTTCCAGCACCGACCCAGGCTACGTTACCCTTCCATTCTCCGTGAAGTTCTCCTGGGTCCAGCTTCTCCACCACAGTGGCAAGGGACTTGGCAGTAATCTTCAGCTTCTGGATTTTCCTCATCTGTCCCTCACTGCATGACCCTCGTCTGTTGGCCCCTTGCCAAGTCTTGCCTGCATGCTATCTACAAATCTTCCCAGTTCACATGCACCCCTCTGGCCAGTTTTGGTCTGGGCTCTGGTGACCTCTTCCCTAGTTAATCATAGAGAACTAGAAGTGGTCTCTGGGATCATTTAGTTTAGGATTTCTTACCCTGGGGTCTACCAACTTGGGTGGGGAAATAATTACATCTATATTTTCATTAACCTCTGGCTTCTTTTGTAATGCTCTACATTTTATTTTATGCACTTAAAACATTATTCTAAGAAGGGGTCTTTGTGCTTCACCAAAATGTCAAAGGTATCCATGACATCAAAAAAAAAAAAACAACTTAAGAACATTTGGTCTATAACATCTCACACCATGTACCAAGATAAGGTCAAAATGGGTACATGATTTAGACATAAAGGGTAAATATCATATGCAAACTGGGGGAACATAGAATATTTTACCTGTCAGATTTATGGATAAGGGAAAAACCTATAACCAAAGAAGAGATAGAGAACATTATGGGATGTAAAATGGATAATTTTGATTACACCAAATTGAAAAATTTTGCACAAACAAAACCAATGCAGGCAAGATTAGAAGGAAAGCAGGAAACTGGAAAAAAAAATTACAGTAAAAGCCTCTGATAAAGGCTTTATTCCTCAAATATATAGGGAACTGAGTCAAACTTATAAAAATTAATCATAGGGGCAGCTAGGTGGCACAGTGGATAGAGCTCTGGTGTTGGAGTCAGGAGGAACTGAGTTCCAATCTGGCCTCAGACACTTGACACTTACTAGCTGTGTGGCCCTGGGCAAGCCACTTAACCCCGATTGCCTAGCAAAAAGCAAGAAAAAAAAAATAAGTCATTCTCCAGTTGATAAATGGTGAAAGGAGGTAATTTTCAGAAGAGAAAACCAAACTACCTAGAGGCATTTGAAAACTAAATCACTACTGATTAGATAAATGCAAAATAAAACAGCTCTGAGGTACCACCTCACACCTATCAGATAGGCTAATATGATAGAAAAGGAACATGACAAATATTGGAGGGTATGTGGAGAAATAAAGACACTAACGTATTGTTGATGGAGTTGTGGACTGATTCAATCATTCTGGAGAGAAATTTGGAACTATGCCCAAAGGGCTATAACACTGTGTGTACCCTTTGATCCATCAATATCACTACTAGATCTGTATCCTAATGAAATCAAAGAAAAGGGAAAAGGACCTATATATACAAAAATATTTATAGCAGTTCTTTTTTTGTGGTGGCAAAGAATTGGAAATTGGAGGAGTGACCATCAATTGGGGAATGGCTGAACAACTTTTGGTATATGATTGTGATAGAACAGTACTGTGCTATAAGAAAGCATGAGCAGGACGCTTTCAGAAAAACCTGGGAAGACATACATGAACTGATGCAAAATGAAATGAGCAAAACCAGAACATTGTACATAGCAACAGCAACATTGTGTGATGATTAACTATGATAGATTTAGCTATTCTCAGCAATACAATGATACAAGACAAATCCAGAGGACTTATGATGAAAAATGCTATCCACCTCCAGAGAAAGAACTGATGGAGTCTGAACGCAGATTGAAGCATACCTTTTTTATTTTAATATTCTTGGGGTTTTTTTGATCTCCTCTTCTTTTGCAACATGGCTAATATGGAAATGTTTTGCATGAGTGCACATGTGTAATCTATATCAAATTGCTTTCCTTTTTGAAGAGAGAGAAGGGGAGAGAGGGAAAGAATATGAAACTCAATTTTTAAAAAAAATGAATTAAAAATTGTTTACATTTAATTGAGAAAAAAATAAAAATTAAATTTAAAAGAATATCTGGTCTAGGCCAATCCCCTTACTTTACAGATGAGGAAACAGAAAACCAGAGGAAGGAAAATGACTTGCCCAAAGTCACAGAGCTGGGACTAATTTCAAGTCTAGTGTTCTTTCTGCTTACATCATGCTGAGAGAATCTCCTCTAGCATCAAGCCGCTCTACTCTCCACCCTTACAGCTCGTGTCCTCTGCAGCAGATCTGCCCTTGTCACATACCCCACGCCCATCAGTCAGTTCAGTCACAGAATTAGAGATTCCCACCTTCAGCCTCAACTCTCCGGGCACTTCTTCCTCTTGTCCTTCCAGGCTTATCTGTTTCAAGCCTCTTTCATACTTAGGAAGACCATTGTGGTCCATGATTGTGATGAAATGCTATTGTGCTATAAGAGATGACAGGTAGGGTGGCTTCCGAGAAACCTGGGAAGACTTGCATGAACTCACGCAAAGTAAAGTGACTGCCACATATCAATTCCCTTGTGGGATTCCTCAAGCCTTTACTATTTGGCTTTTGTTCCTACCTCTCAATTGAAACTGCTCTCTCAAAGGTCACTTGCACCCTCCTCTTTCGGCTTCATCTGAACCTGTTCACATTCATCCTCTTCATTCTGATACCATATCCTCTCCTAGCTTCCAAGACACTGCTCTTTTCTGGCTCTGCCTCTATGTTGGTTCATGCTTCCTTTCTTGCCCCTAAGTGTGTATCTATCCCCTCCCTTAAATCTCTGTCCTAGGCCCTCTTCACCAAAGAAGAAAGTGTAGGCAGGGGGATCTCATCTACTCCTATGACTACAATACCTACAACTACCTGTATGCAGGGAGTAGTTAATAATTATCTCCCATTCCATTTTCCCAAAAGCTACAACCCTACACCACCAATTGCCAGCTAGACATGTCCATCTGGTTGTCCCAGTATACACCATCCCCTACATGCCCCTACCTTCCTTCCTCCGTCTTCTCACACCCGTTGACGGCTCCACGATCTTCTCAGTCACCTATGCTCCTAAACCTTCTGAAGTTTCCCTCTCTGCCACACCCCTTCCCATATCTCATCAGTTGTGAAGTCATATATACTCAATCTTTTCAGTAATATCTCATCCCAACCATCTCTTGACAGATGCCCATCAACTGGGGAATGGTTGAACAAGTTGTGGTATATGGTTGTAATACTATTGAACTATAAGAAATGACAAGCAGGATGGTTTCAGAGAAACCTGGGAAGACTTACATGAACTCATGCAAAGTGAAGTGAGCAGAACCAGAACATTGTGCACAATAACAGCAATATTGTACAATAATCAACTATGAAAGGCTTTATCTCCCTGATCAAGACAATGATCCACGACAATTCCAAAGGGCTCATGATGAAAAATGCTACCCAACTCCAGACAGAGAACTGATGAACTATGAAAGCAGATTGAAGCATACTTTTTAACTTTTATTTTTATTGTTTTGTTTTCTTTGTGTTTTCTTTTGCAACATGGCTAATATGGAAATATGTTTGGTATGATCTCACATGTATAATTGAAATCAAATTGCTTGCCTTCTCAAGGAAAGGGGAGGGACAGGAGACAGAGATAATTTGGAAGTCAAAATTTTTTAAATGATTCAATTTTTTTACATGA